GTCCACCGCCAGCCTCATGCCTACCTTCCTACGATGTCTCATTTTCAATTAAAATGCCGATGGATTTTATGACAAATGGAGAAGGTAATAAATCTGAACTATAAGCCTCTAACCACCATCCAAGCCAATGCGAAATACTTAATGCACCACTCCACTTGTTTCTGCTTAAAACTGATCTGTCTTGAAAATTTGGGCAGTCATGCACCTTGCTGTTGGGTGGCAGGGAATGCAGATCTGAAGGCTTCATTCCCATGAGTGGCAGCTTTGCCATCTTGGGTGTCTGCCTTCAGCATGGTCACTACTCTCTCAAGGCCCCCAGTGATGCTTCTCCCAAGGACTCATTCAGTCAATTATCGCACCTTGGGTGAGCGCCTACTAAATACCATGCATCTAATTCAGCACTAAAAACGAAAACACAGTGAGAAAGTCCAAGGTCATTGATCCCTGGGAAATCAAACAGGCTATTACTGGGCAGGGTGACGCCTCCCATGATACAGAACTGATACTGAATGAACATTAGGCGATGACTATGCCCAGAAATCCAGGGCCATTGTCTCTAATTCACCACATAAATAAAGGAAGGCGTCCAAAGCAGAACACCAAGGCAAGCCCACTCTGCATTGACAGCTCCACACCTCAACCACCAGCTACACTTCAAGTGCTCTGTGTACAGCTGCCCTGGCAGCTTGGAGCCGGGTCATTCAGGTATACGCTGGCCTTGTGTCTTCAGTACATATCACACCCTGTAGAGAGGATAGCAGGGATGCTGGACCACAGAGCACACCAAGAAAGAACTCTCAGCAAGCTACAAGGATCAAGATGAATGGTGTCATAAAACCCAGGGGACCTGAACCTGCAGACAAGTCATCCACCTGGCTCCTGTAACCATGGAGTGGTTGCAGAGATACCTCAGGGCTTGGGAGTGCTTCCTGCGTAATCCAGGGGACCAGGAGTTCAAATCCCAGCACTCACACAACACGTCAGGCATCCCACACACTTCTGCCACTCCAGCTCTGAAGAGAAAAGTGGAGGAAGACGACTAGCTGAGGCTTGCTGGCTGCTAGCCTACCTAAGAAAATGCGAGCCAGGTTCAGGTAAAGAACCTGCTTCAAAGGTACAAGCAGGCAGTGACAAACGAAGGTACCCGATGCTCTCTTCTGGGCTCCACACATGCGCACAGGTGAGCACACGTGCAAACGCACACACACACACATGCGCACACACATATACACCTGCACACACTCCTGTGAACACACACATACACACACACTGCACACACAACTATGAACATGCACATACACACACACACACACACACCAGTACACACGCACATACATACAAAATAATAATAATAATAATAAGCTCTTTTGAGAATGATCATAAAAGAGTTCCTAAGGAAGTGGGCCTCAGTCAGACTGAGTAAGTTCAGACAAGGAGACGGAAGACACAATCAGTACCTCAGCAAAGCAGCGGACAAGGAGGTGCCCAGGAAACTCTCAGGTCAAGCTCAGTAATGGCCAAGAGTATAACTAGGGTCAGTGGTAGGCAAGTCAGCAAGCAGCTGCCCAAAGGCCCAGCTGAAAGAAGTAGCCAGGCATACTATTAAAACAACCTAGTATTACAGCCTTGAAAACGGGCTCTAACCACAACACCTCTTAGGGAGCATCGCACACCATGGAAGGAGCACTGTGTTCTCTCATCATAACTCTGCTTGGGGAGCACCACACACCATGAAAGTAACACTGTATTATCAGAATTCACCTTGGGAGCACCACATACCATGGAAGGAGCACTGTGTTCTCCCTTCAGAACTCCTCTTGGGGAGCACCACACACCAGGAAAGGAACACTGTATTATCAGAATTATTCACCTTGGGGAGCACCACACACCATGGAAGGAGCACTGTGTTCCCTCTTCAGAACTCCTCTTGGGGAGCACCACACACCAGGAAAGGAACACTGTATTATCAAAATCAATCTTGGGAAGCACCACCCACCATGGAAGGAGCATTGTGTTCTCTTATCTGAATTCCTCTTGGAGAGCACCCCACCATGGAAGGAGCACTGTGTTCTCTTATCTGAATTCCTCTTGGAGAGCAACCCACACCATGGAAGGAACACTGTGTTTAGTCTCCCAGGAAAGGAAAGGAAATTGCTAGACGGTCTCCTCAAGATAGCACTGAAGGGCACCAAAATTTCCTAAAGACAATGGTCCCCTCTGCTTCTACTTGGAGGACAGAGCTCCAGCCTAGAGCTGCATTAATCTGAATCAAAGAGGTCAGAGATGGTCAACCACAGCAATGGTCTTCACCAGGACGCTCTTCATAGAATGGCTCCCTCTCTTCCTAAGTGGCTACCAGCATGTCTTAGATACCATCTCAGGGTCAGTCCTACAGATAATCTGTTCTTATTTACACCTCATAAACTGTTTCCACACCTTAAATGACCTGATTTTCACAACCTCTATGAAATAAGCACTCGGCTTATCAGTTATGACCTGGGAGGTGATAAAGCCATCAAATTGCAAAATTCGGTCTAGGCTGCCTATCCATTGGTTGGTCTCATCTGTCACTCCTGCAAAAACATGGTAGTTTTAAAGTTCTCAGCAGTCAACAGGAAGTTCTACAGTCTTGGGCGATACAAAGAATACACACACACATACACGCACACACACACACACACACACACACATTCAAAAGTCATACTCCTGCAGTTTACCCAAGAAAAATAACAAGTGTGTTCTACTTCCCTAAAACTCTTCCTTTCTCTTCTAGATGAGGATTTTCTTGGTCCACTTATAAGATGAACCGCTCTATTTAAAGATTACTAAATAAACCTAGATTTATTTAGAGAGACAGCTCCATGCTTGAGTGCTTGCTGCTCTTCTAGAAGACGTGAGTCCAGCACTCACATTAGGGGGGCTCCAATACCCTCTTCCTGCCTTCATGGGCACCTGCACTTGTGTGGCAGATACACAGGCTCACAGATAAACTAAGTGAAGTTTTAAACTCTGAATGCTGGTCTACTTAGACTCTTGTTAGGGCTCCCAGTCCAGAGCTCACATCACCCTCCCTTTAGGCCACAGACTGTCCGTTTCCATTTCTCTGCCTTGAATTCCTCCCTTCCACTCCCCGTCTTCCAGAGACATCTCTACCTGTGTATCAACGCTTCTTTGGCAGAAGTGATGACATCCAAGACATAAAACCACAGGGCGCAGAAGAACCTTAGAAAGAGCCAACCATGTGCTTCATCTTTTGGCAAAAACAAGAGCAGCCATCACAATAGTTCACATACATGTTTTCTCTCTTAAAATCCCAACTCCCAACTTCTCCAGAGCAAGTTTTCAAAGTTCCTAGGTCACACAAATTATTTAATAAACAACTTATCAATTAGTCTTGCATGGAGAAGAGAACAGTTAGATACTGACACGAAGACAGAGTCAAAATCAAAGTGGAACACAGTGACAAATGAGCAAAGCTCCCCTGTCATCACACCCACGAAAGAAGATCAAAGCCCGTTTGCTAACCATAGGCAAGCCTCCCTCTCCTTTCTCTAAACACACAATTCCATGAAAAGATCTTAACGGAAACAGAGTCAATACATCTTATTCACAAAACAACCATCTCGCCTCATTTTTTACCATTTCTTTTTTATGCAAGATGATTTATAGACTCTGGCAATCATTCAGCAATGGGATGAGAAATTTTTCACCCTTCTTATTTTCTAGCCCCCCCCCCCCCGGGAAAATCCCACACACTCATCTTGCTATGAACCACAGGAAGAGAGTGGTTGAATTCCAGTTAAGCCAAGTATTTCAACTGCACACTCTCAACCTCAATCTTAACCATACCCATGAAATGTGATCTTTCAGAGCCTGGCCTTTCAGTCATTCATTAAGATGTACGATAACGGTGTTCTCCCCGCAAGCACGGGCTCTGCAGAGGCCTCAGTCTATCTGAGAATGCACAGAAACGCTCTGGGCTACAACTTTTTAAAAGATCTTTTACATTCCTGGGTTATCTGAATATTTTAAAATTTTAGTTAGATATCTTCCAAAATCCTATTAGGTAATAAAGGGTGTGGGTCTTTTTTTTTTTTCTTTTTAAATTTCCTTTCTGTGAAGAAAAAAAAAAAAGCTTTATAGAAGGCCATTGGGTATACATGGAAAAATACAAATTTCAACACAAGCACTGTGTGAGTAACTGCAACTATGTTTGTTTATCAATCCTTTTGCCGGCTTTAGTCACAATGCCAACATGCAATTCCACACGCCAAATTTTAAATAGAGTATGAACACTGGGCTATTTGCTCACATAAAGCACAGATCAATAAACCCGGCGGATTAATGGAAAGAGTCACCCAGCAGTTGCCAAATGCTGCCAGAGAAATCTTCTTGGTGCACCTAGACACCAACACACCCTGCTCAGCACCACAGCCCCCACAGTGTGCTGGTAGTCTCTGAATAGAGACAGCCGCCATAAACGATACCAAGCTTAGCAGCAAATTCCTGGTGGGAGTAAGTTTCAAATTCCAAGGCCAACATCTGGCAAGTTCCACACCTACCTACCAACCCTGGCTGATGTGCACTGAAAATCCAGCACAAGGGATGAGTATTAAAATGTTAAATGCCCATTAATTAACTTGTACTCTGCTTAAAGCACACATAGGCGGTCCCTCCAGTTGCAGTTAAGAGTCCTGGCGTTTGCCTCATTGTCTCAGAAGGGAGACTGCTGACAGGAGTTGGTGAGCACAATGAAATCTGGTCTGGTCCAGGGGTTTTGACTACACTCTGTGCGCAGTAACGGCACCGTGGACTCCCTCTCCACCCCTTGGATCAGGAAACTTATTCCTGGTCCCTGGTCTTCGCGTGTTAGGCACTGTCTCTTCCACCATGGGCACATCCCAGAGAAGGGCCAGAGAGAGGCACGTCTGGCTTTAGCAGAATCTGTTTACCGCGCACTGCCCCCCACACCGAGCGCTTCCGCCCCCCTTTGCTGGTACCTGCCCAGTTCCTCGCCGGTGTCGTAGTAGTCGTCCACGTTTTCCTGCCTGAACACAGTCATGATAGACTGTCTCGCCTCACCAGAACCCAGGCCACTCCGGCTCCGCGGCCCGAACCATCCCCACCGCCGCCGCGCCGCTGCGGGCCCCTCATGCACCAAGCCGCAGACCTCTGAGAGAAATGGAGAAGAGAATGAAAATGGCAAACCTCAAGGAAATAGAGGTTCCCGGGGCTCGGCTCCAATCTCGAGGCCTCCCGCGGGCTGGGGCCACGCGCGCCCTTTGTTAAAGCCCGGGCTGGGGGACCCCCACGCCCCACACCGCCGCGCCCCCAGCCCCGAGCCTACGGTTACCCGGCTCCCGCCTCCGCCTCCGGACGACGCGGGGACAGCGGAGGGAAGGGACACAAAGCGCCCGGACCGGCCACCTGTTCCCCCGCGCCGGGGCCGCCCTACCGCTCTTCCCGCTCCTCCCGCCGCCTGTGGCGGCCGCTCACCGGCCCCGCAGCTCTCGGCCCGTGCGCCCTGCGCCCCGTGGCGGGTCCCGATCCGGGGCACCTCCAAACGGCCTCCGCTCCCTTGCCTCGAGATCAGCTCGGCCCCTCAGGGACGCAGCCACCACCTTCTCCTCCTCCTCTCCGTCCTCTTCCTCCGCTGCGCTCGCGGCTCCTCCCGGCTCCGCGCTCCCGCCCTGCCGCGCGCACCCCGCACACACCCACTCGCCCGCACCGAGCGCGCGCCCCACCTGTGACTTAGCGCCCGGCTGCCCTCTGCCGCCCGCTTCAGGGTTCTCCAGAGTGAGAACCCAACGACCCGCGTGGGCCAGGCGGTGTGCTCCGTGCCAGAACCACACACACACACACACACACACACACACACACACACACAAAACAGCAGGTTTAAAAAATAAATCAATAAAATCCTGCCCCGGAGACGCCAACACCCTGATGGAAACGATAGCAAACAAATAGCTTATAAATGAGATTGCTCTGTTCTTCTGTGTTGACAACAAAACCAACAGAGTATAACAGGGGCCTCATCAGAGTGGGCAACACCAGGGCAGATGTTTTGAGCTAGAATGATGGCAAGGTGTGCGATCCACGAAGGAAAAGGTTGAGCTATCAGAAGCCTGACGAAGCTTAAGAGGCCTGTCAGTACCTACGATCATCAGTTGTTGATGTTGAAACAGCAAGTCCTGCTTGAGCTATGTTAAGCGAATGAAAACCGCCGTAGGCATATCTTATGTTAGGTACATGTTCAAACGATGGTGCTTTGCATCTCTCAGATTAAATAAAACTTTATTAAAATTAATTACAACTGTTGTTATTTTTTTTTTAGCCGTCACAACAGTACATAAGCGCCTTGCACTGGGTTGCTGGGGACTGGCCACGACACTCCAGGTCCACTCGTGAAATAGGTAGGTATCCACATATCCATTTTTCATTAAGTCTCTCTCCCTGTGTTCCCAGCTAAGCGGAATTCTCAAAGGGAATTCTATCCAGCTTCCTAGAACTGCCAAAACTCATCCGCTAACCCGGCTGAGATTTCATATCCACGCCACTGCTCAAACTCTTGATTCATCAGAAATTTTCAGCTGTGGAGGCTTGGGGCTACAAGAACAAAGTAAAGCAGAAGAATGCGCCTCAGGCCACGCGTCAGATCCTAATCTTAAGTATTTCCCCAGGTAGGAGTGGTCACACACACCTGTAATTCCAGCACTTGGTGGTAGAGGCAGGAAAATCAGGAGCTTAAGGATAGCCTCAGCTACATAGCAAGTTGGAGGCTATCCTGGAGTACACGTCTCAAAAACAAAATCAAAGATATTCTTAGTGGCCCATGGGAAGAGCCCATCAGGCATGAGGAGTTAACAGTGACCTAAGTGGTAGATCTGAGAACAGATACAAAAGTATCTTGAGAAATACAATGAAAATCAGCAGCCAAAAGGTGAGGGCAGGCGGGGGAGGGGGGGCAATTCATTTTGGAAACAGAAAAATGAATACATCTGTTGGAAAAATGAAAAGCATGGGAAGAAACTTGGAAAGTGTTTACTGATGGCTGGTTTCCTACAAAAACAAATTTATTTTCCAGGCCACTAAAAGGATTGGATCTACTTGGGGCCATTAGGGCAGATTACAAGACATTTTTCTGGTGTCATGAAAGAGAAGAGTGGAATTTTGATTTATAAATTTTCATCTAATAATCGTAAGGCTGTCTACCAGCTGCACAAACTTAGATGAAATCTAAATCACCAGATCTGCACTAATTCAGGCAAATGTTTTAGAAAAGGGGACTGTGGCAGTTACAAACAATGTCCATAAAGTCTTTGACTTTCTTCCAATCAAAATGCGGAATTTAATGTTCCTCCAGTGAAGACAGGCCTCCCTCACCCCTCACCCTGGTTGTTTCTAAGAAAATCTGGGGATAGCCATACTAGTTGGTTTCTTTCCAATGTTAGAGCAAGCGCTCTCTCTCTCTCTCTCTCTCTCTCCCTCCCTCCCTCCCTCCTTCCCTTCCTCCCTCCCTCCTTTCCTCTCTCCCTCTCTCCCTCTTCATTTCAAGGCCTTTCACAGAGTTTCCTCTGGAACTGCCATTTAAACAGATAAAAGCAGAGAAAACAAAGGAGTCGCCCTGCCCAGTCAGCTCTACCCACCCCTCCAGTCACCCAGCCCCTGGGCAGTTGACCATGCTAGCTCAAGTCCTGTGAGGATTACTCTGGGGTGATTTCTGGTAAAGCACTAGATCACCATATAAGAAAATCAGGAAAAGCTAGAGGGATCCGAAAAGGCTCAGGGAAATGTAACTTTGAGACACACCAGGGTCAAGGCTGGAGAAACTATTCTCTCACTGAACCTTTTTTACACAATTATGTAAATTGAGTTTTTCTGGTTTATAGTTTATTTTCTTAGTCTGTTTCATCATCTATAAAATGGGGACAACTTAAGTTTGATACCCCAAACCCCCAGTAAAAGGACAGAAGTGACTGCAGAAAGTTGTCCTCTGAACTACACACACACACACACACACACACACACACACACACGCACACAACTAATGAAGAAAGTAAAGGAAATAATGTACACGGGGACAATTATCCTTGTATCCTCTGAGAGAATCTGAAGAGATAATCTGTGAATCATAGCTGTGTGTATTACACAATACATCAGACAATTTGGCATGGATTTCACAAAATGTTCTAAGCAAAAACAGCTCCAAGGGACACATCTTGTTCGCAGAAGACAAGAGCCCTCGTGGTATAAGATTTGAGCTACAAAGGACATCCACACAAATGGCTGATTACAATACACACCAAGACCTATGACAATCACGGACGTGGAATTCAAACCACAGTACAGATTTCAGGTTAATATTTCATAGCTACATTAGTCTGAATAAAACCACTTGCTGTAAAAAAAAAAATCTAACTCATCTCAGAGATTTATCACAGTAAAGATTCATTTCTTGTTTCCAGGGAGTTGGAAGAAGACTAAGCTCCATGGTCACTCAGGGACCCAGGAAGGCGCCATCTCCATGATGTCACTCAGGGACCAGGCATGTGGGGGTGGATTCATTGCACCCAGTGCAGGTTGCCATCTTTTCAAGGTTAGCTGATGAAAACAGAGAGAATACAGACTCTGGAGGTTTGTTAGGTTTGAAGTTCAGATTTAAACTTCTGTTTTTCTTTCCTTCCTTCTTGTTTTTCTGTTTCTTTGTTTTAATTAGCAAGATAGTATTAGATCAAAGAAAGATACTTTCAGGTTAGTTTTTAATAATGTAACTTTAGTCTTACCAAGAGAGACATTTTTGCTGGGCAGTGTGGCACACGCTTTTGATCCTAGCACTTAGGAGGCAGAGGCAAGGCCAGCCTGGTCTACAGAGCAAGTTCCAGAACAGCCAGGGCTACACAGAGAAACTCTGTCTCGAAACCAAAAAGAATGGATGTTTTTAAAAGATATATTTATTTTTATTATAGGCATATGAGTGTTTTATCTACACATATTTACATGGTCCGTGTGTATTCCTGGTGCCTGTGGAAGCCAGAAGAAAAATTGGATTCCCTGCAACTAGAGTTACAGGTGTTTGTGAGCCAAAATGAAGGCGCTGGGAACGGAACCCCAGTCCTCTGTAAGAGCAGCCAGAGCTCCTAACCACTGAGCCGTCTCTCCAGCACCATGGGCAGATATTTTTAAATGATACCATGCAGAATATGCCTGCACTTTGGTTCATTGCTAAAGGTGCTTTCTTTGGAACTGGAGAGACGGCGCAGCAGGTAAGACGGCTTGCTGCTCTTCCTGAGCAATGTTACAAGCATTGGAACTCAGTTCCCAGCATCCACATCAGGCAGCTCACCACCACCTGTAACTCCAGTACCAGAGTGTCCAGTGGCCCTCTGTGGCCTCCGTGGGGGGACAAGAGGGCTGCAGAGGTGGCTCAGGGATTAAGAGAACTGATGGCTCCTCCAGAGAATCTGGATTCAACTCCCAGACACATGGCAGCTCACAAACACCTGTAGTTCCAGTTCCAGGGACTCTGATGCTCTCTTCTGGCTTTTGAGAACACCAGGCACAAGCTGGGCGGTGGTGGTACACACCTTTAATCCCAGCACTTGGGAGGCAGAGGCAGGCGGATCTCTGGGAGTTCGAGATCAGCCTGGTCTACAAAGGGAGTTCCAGGACAGGCTCCAAAGCTACAGAGAAACCCTGTCTCGAAAAACCAAAAAAAAAAAAAAAAAAAAAAAACACCAGGCACACTCATAGGGCACACACATACACACACACACACACACAGAGAGAGAGAGAGAGAGAGAGAGAGAGAGAGAGAGAGAGAGAGAGGGGCAGAGAGACAGACAGACACCTAGACACATAAAACAAAAAGAAAGAAATCTCTCTTAAAAATTACTGAGCTTATGCTGCCTATGGTTTAGCCTTGGGTTCCAGAAAGCACATGACAATTTTTCCAGCACAATCCTCAAGCAAGCATGAGTTACCATTTCCACTGATTTGATTCACAATCCTGAGACTCTACTCTGTTTGAAGCTAGGGGTGCACACAGACATCAGGGCCTCTTCCCTCTCAGACTGTCTAGAGAGGCTGATGTGGACAAAGCCGCCATGTAACTGTGCTAAATACACTCCCCACCAGCATGGCCTTTTCAGCTTTCCCCACCCTTGTGGCTGAACTGCAAGACTGATTTAATCTTTCCTTAACCTTGGGTTGATAGTGGATCTGGCCAATGGGAAGCATCAGCCTGAGATCAAAGAACAGGGAGGAAAATGAGAACAGAAAAGTTATTTCCCAGACCTGCTTATGGGGTTTCCTCAGCCAGGGTCACACAAAGCAGGGCCTCACCTCTTTTGCATGGTTTTGGCTGTTCCATCTCTCTTGTCTCCTTCAAACCCGAAGGTTTTGGCTACCCCACTGCCCCTAAGTCTCACCCCCTCCCCTTCAAACTTAAAAGTCATTCAACTTCTCTAGAACCCTGGTGATTAACAAGAAAAGCATTTCAGGGAGCTGTGGAAACAAGATGCTAGGTCTTAAACCCAGAAAAATGGCTTAACTGAGATGCCTATTTAATATATGAAAGGGGACCTGGCTGACAAGTTCTCCCAGCATCCCTCAGTCCCTACCTGTTACAGGGTCCTCCCTTTCCCTTACACTTAACTCTCTTGCCACAGGCTGGGCTGC